CACACACACAGACTCAAAATTCAGAAGCTGAGCCCAAGATCATTTGATCGCAGACGTAGTCAGAAACGACAAGAAACAGACTCAGAATCGAAATTCTCAGCAAACAGATCAATGGGACAAAAGGCTCTGTTAAAAAAAAAAAAGAAAAAAAAAGAGGAAGAGCAATGGGACAAAATTTTGGGTCATTTCACACAGGTACAGTACAACAAACGGTGCTGAGAAGTCAGAGAAGGTAATGGGCCTAATGGCTTCCCAAAGAAACAGTGAATAGGAAAACTATTCTAGACTCTAGAGCACTTTTTCCATGCTAATCTTTTCTCTGTATCGTTCGAATGTTAATGGATGTCCCAAAGGGCAGGATAATGCGCGTTATGATTCCTTTGCTTGGCCAATTTCCGTCTAGTCCCCAGGCATGTTGGGCGAATTGCAGTTGAAACCTGGATGATGAGGAGATGACGTGGCTTATGGATACCTTGCATTATGATTCTATTTCGGACCTGGAGCCAGCCAAGTTCTGCTCACTGTGAAGCGACGGCCTGTGACTCAACTTGCCTCGGATTATGATTCCATTTTTGGCATGGAGCCAGCCAAGTTCTGCTCACTGTGAAGCGCTACAGCCTGTGACCCAACAACCCTGTGAGCAGGATTATACGTGAGTAGAAGACTGACCCCCTGATTCGGTTAGGGGTGGAAGCCTGGCCAAGGAAGAAAAGTTTTGGACTTGAAGGGACATTTTCGTAACTCGACAACTGGGTGAGAATGATCATGGAGGGGTAGAAGCCTGACCCTCTCGCTGCGCTTAGGCCGTACTCACTTGTACTTCTTTCCCACAGAATCTGACGCCAATTGTGGCCAGATTCATTCGAGAAAGTCTTGAGTGTGAGTATTGCCTCACCATGGTTAGCAGCCACACATAGGGCAGTTCAAATGCACGGGCATACTCGTACGTTTTCCACAGAATCTGACCTGAATTGTGGTCAAATACATTCCTGTGAGTATGCCCTCACTTGAGTAAGCAGCCATACATACCGACTCCAGTTGGAATTCAAGGCCATACTCAGACATGTACATTTCCACAGAGTCTGGTGTGATACATTCCAGAAAGTTCGACTGTGAGTTTATGCCCTGACTACAGTGTCAGCAACTATACATCCCCAGCCAGCTGGAATTCAAGGCTATGCTCATTGTACATTTTCCATACAATCTGACCGCAATTGTGGTCATATCCAGTCCAGAAAGTCTGAGTATGCTTTGACTACCGGTAGTAGCGTACTCCAATCCTCTTTGCCAGTGGGATCTGGCCCTTAGTCAGCTTTACCTGCCAGCTTTTTTCCATGTTCTTATCCGCCGTAGCCTTGCTTTTTTCAGTCAGGTTTCTGTCTTCTTTTCTTTGCAGAGGGGGTAGCCCTTAACCACCTGAGGGCCTCGCCACACCACTTTCCAAAAGTGAAAAAGACAAAAAATGTGGCGGGTGCATCTGGTCATGTTCTAGGGGAAGTTCATTCTCATTTTGCACATTTCAAGAGTGGTGTGGCCAGGCCCCGAGTCCATCAGGGTTCCAAGTTCGAACTCAAGATCAGTTTATTAACAAGTACACCTGTGTCACTGTGTATGGGGGGATAGCCCGGATGGGTG